AATTGAAGATATCATCATGAAATGAACAAATTTGAGAGTGGTTCATATGTAGTACCTATATATGTAATATCAAAGCAATTGGACTTGTGGTTTTTAACAAGAAGTCGAAAATATCACTTTTTACCAAAAATGACAAAAATATTCACCAAAATTAGAGAATTTAAGATATCATTACAAAATGAACAAATCTGAGAGAGGTCCACATGTAGTACCTATATATGTAATATCAAAGCAATTGGACTTGCGGTTTTTAACAAGAAGTTGAAAATATCCCTTTTTACCAAAAATGACAAAAATATTCACCAAAATTAGAGAATTAAAGATATCATTACAAAATGAACAAATCTAAGAGAGGTCTACATGTAGTACCTACAAATGTAATATCAAAGCAATTGGACTTGCGGTTTTTAACAAGAAGTCGAAAATATCACTTTTTACCAAAAATGACAAAAATATTCACCAAAATTAGAGAATTGAAGATATCATTACAAAATGAACAAATCTGAGAGAGATCCACATGTAGTACCTATATATGTAATATCAAAGCAATTGGACTTGCGGTTTTTAACAAGAAGTCGAAAATATCACTTTTTACTAACAAGCAGCCTATCGGCTGAGATAGCTCCGCTGTTAGCAATGCACATTTCAATTAAAGAACTGAAGACATCATTAGAAAATGAACAATATGAATAGTGTCAAAGCAATCAGACTTACAGTTTTTAACAAGAAGTCGAAAATATCACTTTTTACCAAAAATTACAAAAATATTCACCAAAATAAATTAATTAGAGAATTGAAAACATCATCACAAAACGAACAAATCTGAGAGAGGTCCACATGTAGTACCTATATATGTAATATCAAAGCAATCGGACTTACAGTTTTCAACAAGAAGTCGAAAATATCACTTTTTACCAAAAATGACAAAAATATTCACCAAAATTAGAGAATTGAAGATATCATCACAAAATGAACAAATCTGAGAGAGGTCCACATGTAGTACCTATATATGTAATATCAAAGCAATCGGACTTGTGGTTTTTAACAAGAAGTCAAAAATATCACTTTTTACCAAAAATGACAAAAATATTCACCAAAATTAGAGAATTAAAGATATCAACATGAAATGAACAAACCTAAGAGAGGTCTACCCAAGGTACATATACACCAATTATCAAAGCATTTAGGCTTGTAGTTTTCAAGAAGAAGTCGAAAAAGTAAAACATTGACACGGACGACGGACGACGGACGACGACGACGGACGACGACGGACAATCACTCATATGATAAGCTCCGCTCGACAAAGTCGACAGCGGAGCTAAAAATGACAAAATATTCACCAAAATTAGAGAATTGAAGATATGATCATGAAATGAACAAATCTGAGAGAGGTCTACCTAAGGTACATATATACCAAGTATCAAAGCATTCAGACTTGTAGTTTTCAAGAAGAAGTCGAACAAGTAAAACATTGACACGGACGCAGGACGACAGATGACGACGACGGACAATCACTCATATGATAAGCTCCACTCGACAAAGTCGACAGCGGAGCTAAAAAAAACTCATCTGTTGATATTTGTCTAAAAGTCATATAGGTAAATTCATAACAAGCAAAGTACGAGGCTTTTCTGGTGTGTATTACAGAGACTTCTACATATCGGTAGTTCTTTTTAAAATTGGAATTATGCTTGGTACTTACTTATTCAAGATTGGTTGACTATGCAATAAAGGAGTTTAACTTATTTAACAGACAGTTTTGCATATTTAATTAAAGTTACAATGTTTACTTAACTATTTTACCAATTTCATTTGAATTTTGTCAAATATGTCATTTTCAAATTCATTTTGAATATTCAGTATTAAATTTAAATTCATTAGCATTTTAAAATTCTTCAATATCATCCATGTGCTACATGTCTATTTCAGTGATTAAGTATCATCAACTTGAAAACAATAATTGTCCCTAAATTTTCTTGGTGACAGGCTGATTTATATATTAAAAAAATTCAGAGTATTTTTTTTTTGTTACCTGTTATTGTCATTTACCGGTATATTCTCAAAATATATGTAAACTAACAATTATGCATATTTTCATTGTATTTCTTGCTTCCAATACACACAAAAGTTTTTCTGAACTGTTCTTCTTTAAAGATGAGATGCACAATTTTCAGCAATGTTTTGTTAAAACTCACTTTTTTTCTTACATTTTTAAGAGTACATATAAATGTCATTATTATACATCTGTCATCGTAATGCCATGATTTACAACAGGCCGTATTGCACTTGGTATTTTCATCATACCATATTAGGAAATTCCAAATATGGAGCGATTACGAATGTAAGCATCCTCTAATAATAAAAACAAACATGACAGCCCCTGGGGTTTGACGGATACACACAAAAAAGTTCACTAAATCTGTTCTAAACTTTTTGGATTTCGGCATTCCCATGATGTATCGTTGGGAAGAAAAGATGTATAATAATAATTTTAATTGATTTTTTTTTAACAAAACAATGGCAAAAAGCCAGAATTCAAACTTAACCCAACTTATTTTCATAAAAAGATGTTTTAAAAGACACCAGTTCAGGCAAATTTCCATTCCATATATCCATTAACTCATTTAAAAATATTATTAAAAAGCTGTGCCTCAGAGTGGTTCATGTAGTTTCATGGTCAAGTTCAAGATAATCTGTTCATCTGAATATTGAACTGATTTTGTGTTTGGTTTACACATTATGGTACTAGTACCTAGTAATCAAATCTATATACCTGTATATTACATTTTTGTCTCAGCATATGTAAATCCATAGAATCCTATGGCAAATAAATGTAAACAAAATCAATTATTTGACCACGACTCTACTTCGAATGAATGAATTGCACTGATTTGTGCACATATATCCTTCATTTATATGAATTGATATAAATACAATTTTTCTATATAATGCATAATAGTTTCAAGTTTACTGCATTTTTCTCGCAAATTCATTACAAATTGAATACTTTTTCAAAAAAAGTTGTAATACTAGTAACTTTAGAACTGTGACTGATATGCAATGTCTTGCACTATACTGAATCACATAATGAAGAAAATGTGTAAAACAAGCGACCTTTACCAACTTTTATGTTTATTTTTACGATAAAAATAAAATATACATTCATAAAAATTTGGTTACAACCTACCATAATATGACCACAGATAACTAGTTAGATAATTAGCTATTTGCTGTCAATCATTATATCGTTGTGAAAATCGCCACAAACAAAACTCAAAATCAAAAATCTATAAATATTTTGCAATGAAAATCAATTCTGAACACTTGGTGGCGCTATAATACATTGTTTTTTTTGGGTGGCAATGGTGGTAAATGCTAATTAGGGCATGAAGCATGTTGTCGTGTTGAATCATTGAACAGTAAGGTCAAATTTATTGTTCAACTGAGAACACCTTGAATATTACTGGGAATAAAAATATAACTTGAAAAAAAAAAATGAATGCCAAAAAATAAGTTTTGTCACCTTTCAAAAAATAAACCTGCATAATTATTTCTCATATTTTTTTTCAAAAGTTTTGATCAAGACTAAAATAATTGGTCATAAAAAAAGTTGCATGCCATTGGAAATTTAATTATAACGCTATTTACAAATTGTGATTAAAATATATGTGGTTAAAATGTTCCAGTTGGAATATAAGCATCCATTGGTTTATCATCATATCAACTCACTAATTTGAATAAATTCAAATAAAATCAAACTGTATTTGCTCAATCAGTAGCACATACACTCACATGTAAATGAGAACGGTGTTTTCTATGGTCAAAATAATTAATACTTTATTGATCAAGTATACGGATTACAAAGGCATTTTTTTTTGTATACGTGTCCTATTTGAGATACAGTATTCACCAAAGCTAACATAAGGATATGGTAAAAGAGTTAATGAATTTACATTCGAAGATACACATCAAATATAATGTACATCCCAGTGTGGAGATTAGAAAAAACACAATTGAATTATGGGTATAAGTCTATATAAGGAAGTAGTTAATGTGTGAATACATGACACAATTGTGGATTTATCACATTTTTTCAATACCTTGTGAAAAGATTGTGCAACAAAAATAGTACCGGGGGGGGTATTTCAATTTGTGTTTATATATGGTATATATAAACCCTAATATACGATAGAGTTCATTCATATGAAATAGTAATCTTGAACTTCAGAAATTCTAGATAATGAAAGAATATGTCATGATTTTTTTTTTTAATATTAAATTAATTGGAAATCTGAAATAA